CTGCGCATTCTCCATCGACGTGTTCGCCAGACCGTCCTCTTCGCCAACGGACCATCCCGAGGAGACATCTGACAGACCGCTGAAGCTCGTCTCGGCCAAGTTGCCCAGCAGCCAAGGAGGAATGTAGCCAAAGTGGATCGAGTCCGATGACAGCTCCGCCTCCTCGCGTGCACGTTGGGCATCCCAATTCGGGTTCAATAGATCGAACGCTTCGTCCGCCTCACGCCGAATCTCCTCCATCGTCTTCGGCGGAGGTGGAATATATGCCTCCAGTCGAGGGTCGATGTCCCAGTCAGAGCCCTGTGCATTCTCCATCGACGCATTCGGTGCCAGATCCTGAGACATCTCCAGCGAAACGTCAACCGTAGTGTCATCGGCAGAGTCAGGGCCCTTAGGCTTGGCGAGAGTCAGCCACTGAGTAGAACGCAGCTCGACCGAGTCTTGCAGGCGTCGACCAGACCATAGCGTCGCGGAATCCACGCTGGCTTCGCTAACCTCGCTGTCTTCACTGTCCTCCGTGACTGGAACAACAGTGCCGTCCGATGTCGTCGCACCAGACGACGCCACAGATGCGTCGTCGATAGGAGGAATATGATCCGCAAGGGTGTCCACCAACTGCGAGGGAGTAGCTGCCGTCAGTGCCGACCGCTCTACAATCACACCCCCAAGCACGCTGTCTACACTGTCTAGAGACTCGAGTGAGTGGATCGCCCCAGAGAACGACAGCATGCCCATGGTGTCGTCATCGCCGTCCTGAGGAGGCAGGTGTGCCGTCAGGCCGTCCTCTGCGACCTGCGTCTGATCTTGTTGCTGCAGCTGTGCACGGAGGCCGTCTGCTTCTTCGCGGCTCATGCGAAGCTGCTCCCGGAGTGCCTCCAATTCCGCATCGCGTTCTTGCTGGCCTTGCTTCAGCTCCATGTTCTCTTGCTGGACTGTCTCCACCATCGCGGCCTGGCTCGAGCACCGCTCCTAATGATCTTTATGAGCACGTCAATGATTGCAGTACACGGATCACTCGCCTGGAGAGAAGCCTTATCGGCGGTCGCCTGATCCAGCGCAGCCGTGCGCTCTGCTAGAACAGCCTGTATTGCATCGAACATTGTGAGCTGAGACTGATTGATCGAAAGGCAGGTGAACGTAGTACCTCGACACGTGCTCTCTCCTGCTGCTCGCACTCGAGCACACGGACCTGAGTCGCATTTGCCTCCTGGGGTAGACCACATCCGTCAGAGAGAATCCGATTCGATGAGTCACAAACGACGTGCCTGTGCAGCGCAGAGTGCACGCTGAACGTCGTGAAGCTCAGCAGAGTGCTTCGCGAGGTTCGCCTGGTTCACCGTTCAGCCATGCGTCAAAAGTATCAAGCAGATGCCGCACCTTCAGCTCGCCATTCTCGCCCTCCGCCGCCTCCAATGCGCTGCAACCCGCCTTGTGCACCGTCTGCCGCGACTATAGTCAGCGACCAACATCACATTCAACCCACTTACCTCCATCCGCTGCTGCTCCATCATCGCACCCTGGAGCAGCACACTCTGCTCATCCACCCGTCCCTGCAATCCGCCGTCAGCAACGATAACCACAGCAACCGCATATTGTGCTCCTGTGCTCACCTGCAGCTCAGCCTTCTGACGCTGCACCGCCGCCAGCTCCTCATCCCGCTCCGTCCGTGCCTTCCGCAG